GGCTGCATTTTAATTTGGGTGCTTAAGGTAGACTAAGAAGGCGAATTTGAGCTCAAGTTTAGTTAAGTAATTTGCAGGCCATAATTTTCAAGAATGGTGTTTCACATCATCCTTGCTTTATACAATGGATTTATAAAAATGCAACTGAGATGGTTACTTTAAAACAAGACATTTGGGGAAAAGAATAAACTCTTAGAAAAACAGTACAGAAAAAAACTGAATAACTGCATGCAAAAGAATGAAGTTGGACCCCTACTTCACTCCACATACAAAATTTAATTTTAGTTAAAATGGAACAATGACCTAAATACAGGCAACAGCCATTAAACTTTTATAAGAAAACACAGTGGTAAACCTTCATGACATTTGACAATAAAGGTTTAAGCAACAGAAAGAAAGCAGGTAACACAAACTTCATAAAAACTGAAAACGCCTGGGTATCAAAGGACATTAGCAAGAATGTGAAAAGACAACCTACAGAATGACAGAAAATATTAGGAAATCAAATCTCTTTTAGGGGTTTAATATCCCACACATAAAAGGAATTCTTACAACTCAACAACAAAAAGACAAATGACCTAATTAAAAAATGGGCAAAGAACTTGAAAAGTCATTTGTCTGAAGATACAGAGATGGCCAGGAGTCATATGAAAAACATGCTCACAGATCACTGAGGAAGTGCAGATCAAACAGGAAGATATCTTTTCACATTCACTAGGATGTCCTCAATCAAAATAACAAAAAATAAGAAGTGTTGGCAAGAATTTGGAGAAAAAAAGAACCCTTCTATATTGGGCAGCCACTGTGGGCAGTAGGGAAGGGCAGTTTGGCAATTTTTCAAAAAGTTAACAACAGAATTATTATATGACTCAGCAATTCCACTTCTAGTGATACACCCAAGAGAATTAAAAACATATGTCCACAGAGAACATGCACACAAATGTGTATAGCAGCATTATTTGAATAGCCCAAAGATATAAAAACCTGAATGTCCATCAATGGAGGACTGGTAAACAAATTGTAGTATATAAGAGCAATGAAATACTATTTAGCCTGGAAAGGAACAAAGTATTGATGCATGCTTCAACTTTTATGCACTTCAAGAATACCACGCTAAGTGAAAGAAGCCAGACACAAAAGATCACACACTGTATACAATTCCTTTTATATACATATCCAGAATTGGCAAATCCATAGGGGCAGGAAGCAGATGAGAGGTTAACAGAGTGCAGAGGAACAAAGAGTTGGGTGTGATTACTTAATAAGCAGGGGAGTTTTTTATGAGCTGATGAAAAAACTTTGAAGCTAGAAAGAGCTGGGAGTTGCATAGTGCTGTGAATATATTAAGACCATTAAATTGTACATTTTAAAATGGTTAATTGTATATTATGTGACTTTAATATTAACTTAAGAAATAGGATGTTTCAATAATTGGAAATGGTTTTTAATCCAATTTTCAGGATCAGATCTTATATTATTTACTTAAATTTAAGTTCTGTGTTCATTCTAGTGTTTAATCTATTTGTAACATTTTCAAGTTTTTGTAGCTTTATTGAGATACAGTTCACATACAAGAGAATTCCCCCATTTTAAGTGTTCATGTTAGTGGGTTTTGATTAAACCAGGTGGGCCAGCAACCACTGCCACAATCAAACTTTAAAAAGCATGCAAAAATCCCCAAAAGCTCTTTCAAGACTCTTCACTGTCAATGGCAACCACCACATGTCTGTTACTATAATTGTGCCTTTTCCAGACTTTCATACCAGTGCAATCATTTGGTATCATGGAACTGGGCTACAATATAAGCACAGAAAGTGTTTACTCAAGAATAGGAATCATACTTTTTTACATACCACCAAGGGCAGATGGACCCAACATGTGTTCCAGAAAGGCACTGTGGAGGGAAAACCTTATTTAAGGATTGGAACAAAGAAGTCCTCTGATCTTGTGTCCCTTGTTATGAAAATTTTTGGACTGGCTAATGAGGGCCTCTACAGATAGGGAATTGCTGGGTCATTTTGTGGCAGTCAAAAGACTTGTCTGGACAGAATCAGGGAGACAGTTTAGGCATACACATCCAGGCACTGCACTTTTCAGAATGACAGTGAGATAAGATGAAGTCTGGTTTGGTTTAAGGAAGTTCCTCAGGATACAATCTTATAAATCTGGCAAAGCTCTCTATTTAGCATAATTGGTCTGAGGTTTATCCATGTTGTTTTATGACTCCATTGTTTAAATTTCTGAGCAATTTATTACATTGAGTTTGTGCATTTACAAATTGAGATCATTAGATTGTTTTCATTTTCTCAGTATTGTTAAAAAAAGCAGCCGTGATGAGTCGCATATAAAACGTTTGTGTGGGCATATGTTTTCATTTCTTTTTAGCAAATAAAATTGCTTAAAGTTATGTTCAACTGTTTAAAGAAACTGCCAAAGTTTTCAAAATGGCTGAGGTATTTCTAATTCCCACCAGTCACGTATGAGGGTTAGATTGCCCTAGGTTGGCCAATACAGTATCATGAATCTTGCTGAGGACATTCATTCTAATAGTATTGTTCTGTGGTTCTCATTTGAATTTTCCTAAAGACAAATGATACTGAGCATTTGTTTTAATGTGTTTATTGGTCTCTGTGTATCTACTTTTGTGAGGTGTCTTTTAGTGGCAGCAAAACTCCAGCTCCATCTAGGGTCTACCTGGGTCCAAGAATTACATTAAAATAATACAGATTAGGGCTGGGATTGAGGCACAGTGGCTGAGTACTTGCCTTGCATATAAGAGGCACTGGGTTTGATCCTCAGGACCACATAAAAATAAATAAATAAATAAAGGTACTATGTCCATCTACAACTAAAAAAATTTTTTTAAAAGAAAACTAGAAAATTTCCAAATATTTTTTAAAAAGAATACAGATTAACAGGAGAAAGTAATAATATAAGTTTTATGTGGCATAGGAACCCACCAAAGCAAGTAAAGTCAGTTACCTATACGTTGGATTAGTCAAAGAAGTGGAAAAGATGAGAATGTAAATTAAGTTATATGAGAAGACTTAAAGGAGAAGAGTTATTGAATCAATAATTAAATGGAATTTTCAGTCCTGACTTCTAATTCTTGGAAGATAAAGACACTGCTTTTCCTTGCAGTATAGGTACAATATCTTTCCCATGGAAATTTTTTTTCTGATTTTAAGAAAAAGCATGAAGATCAGAATGACCTTTTTGAACCTGCAGTTTTTCAAGTGGTTGTACCTCAATATGCCAGAATAGCATATTTTAACCCTCTCCACCAGAACCTTTGCTAGATTTAATCAGTTTTGTTGTTGCTGTTGTTGTTGTTTTAATATTAAGAGTGCTTTATAAATATTCTTGATACAAGTTCTTTGTAGATATACGTATTGAAAGTTTTTCTCCTAATATGTGGCTTGCCTCTTCATTTGATTAACATTATCATTTGATGAATAAAATTTAATTTTGATGATGTCAAATTTATGGACTTCTTCTTTTAGAGGCTTAGTTAATGTGTTCTAAGAAATCTTTGTTTAACCCAAATTTGCAAAGATTTTTCTTCTCTTGTTTCTTTGTAATTTTTGGTTTTATTTAGTTTTTCTGTTTAGCACTACAAATCCACTTAAAATTAATTTCTGTATGCAGTATGAAGTGAAGGTCAAGGTTTTTTCTTACAGATATTCAGTTATATAAGCATCTTTTATTTCAAGATTACCCTTTCCTCCATTGAATTACCTTGGCAAATTTGTCCCAAGGAAAAAAATCAATTCAGCACATAATGTGGGTTTAAATCTGGAATTTCATTTCTTTTTCATTTCCTTTGATTCTTGTTTCTTTTCTTGTTTTTCCATTGAATTTGAGTGACACTCTCCCATTTCCTCTTATGTTTACTAATCTCTGGTTAAAAACTAGGTATTGTATGTCATACATTGTAGTGATTCTGGATTCTATTTTATTCTTGTAAAATTGTTGGTTTTACTGTTTTAAAATATTTGATGAACCTGTCAGGACTCAAACTGGAAAATATGTTTCTCTGCCAAGTGCTGAAATTTTTGCTCGGTTAGTTTTTTTCTTCTGCCTGGATCTCTTGTGCCTTCATGGCTTGTGGTCAGTCAATGATTTGGACAAAGGCTATACAGAGATGACTCGAGTCAGTAAAGCTTTCACTCTCTGCTACCCAATCTGGGTATGGGTTCAAGAATTAATTCAGACTTGCAGTAATTAAGTAAGTCTCCCAGATTTTAATTCTGCTTGTGTTCCTTGGTGATATGTGCACACGTTGCTTAGCAGTTAGCCATGAACGCATGGGGTATATATTATCTCAGCTCCTCTATAGTTTTCTTGCCTGTAAAATCTATCCCTGAAATCTCTGGCTATCCTGCTTCTCTCCCATACCAAATTAGCCATTCCAAATACTAAACCTGTGAATTTCTTCCACCAGATCTGGAGGATGGTAACACTCTCAAGCAAGAAGCATTTTTCACCAGTGCAATAGAAGTTTTTTGTAAATAAACATTTTTCAGTTCTTTGCTACTTTTGGTCATTTCTGAAATGGCTGCATTTCCAGCTTTATGTCTTTTCAAGGTGAAGAAGAGGAAAATAATCACTCTACTTAGTCAGCCATTAGTGTAAGCAGAATCTTAACCATATTTTAAATATTTATAAATGTATTATTTATCATGATTTATCAAATAAATTACTTGAAATAAAACAAATTACTTCAAAAATAAGCCAACATAGTTGGAAAAAAACTTCTTGTTTGTAAAACTTCAGATTCAATTTCTGTGAAGTGGGTAGTAAATATAAAACCAAGGTAGGCATTATTTGTTATCACTGCTAAAATATAAATTACCTATTAGGAAAACTTGAAACGCACAAAGTTTTATAGATAAGAACAACCATATTCAGACCCAGACCTTCTGTTATAAAAGAACATTACTGAACATAGAACATTTATCTTCATTTGCAGAGTCCATTTGATTTTTTGAGGAAATTACCTTGAAGGCTGTTAGGCAGTGCAGGCTCAACAGGGCCATCACAACTGCCAGAAGGACAGTGGCTAAGTTCCTCATGTCCCAGATGGTCTCTACCAGAGGAATACTGCCCACCTGCCAGTCATAGCACAGGGTAACAGGCGCAAGCAGAAGCCACACGTTGAAGGCCAGGAGGTAGGAGTAAGTAAGGAATCTACGAGGAGAAAAAAAAATTACTAAAATACAACTCAGAATCAGGACATACTGCAAACATTTATTCACTGTATTTCTATTAAACAGTGTTTCTTTTCTATCATTTTTATCTTATAGAAGACAAGACAAGATGTCAAGCCATTCATTCATTTATTCATTAAAGTGGTCGTCTGGGGATAGATCTGATTGCTTCCAGCCACTGGGTCAGATGCTGGCCTTTTGGTGGTAAAGAAGTGAAGACAGTTCTCATAGCATATATTATCATGCAAATCAATAAATATATTACAACCTAGATAAATTCCAGGAAAGAAAAGTTTGATGAAAGCATACTACCCGCCCTCCTCAGGTACCGGGGATTGAACTTGGGGGTACTCAATTGCTTAGCCAAACATAGCTGGAAAAAGTAGCTGAGTAGCTGGGATTATAGGCATGTACCACCAAACCCAGCTCAAAATGTCCCTTCTTAACAGTACCCAGAATCTTGCAATAGATTTGAAAATATTTCATCATTTTTATAATAGATTGACACATATACTCCCCCATTAAAATACCTGCATGAGAACTCACAATGCTTCCAGGAGAATTTATTCTTTAGTCAATATAACAATAGGCTCCTCACTTCCCTTTCTTAGAGCATTATGATAAAGGGCTTAGGATTGTGAATATATGTCTCTTTCAACTTAGAAACATCTCTCTCAGGATCCAAGAGCCATTCCTTGAAAATGCAATCATTAGGAAGGATACGGCCTTGGTCAACTCAGTCTCTGTGAGAGGATAGAATCCTAACTTAACAACTGCTGGTCAGCAGACACAGCTGGTTCAATGGCATTTCCACAGACCAATTCTATAGTTTTCACTACTGTGACTCTGCCAAGCCCTGGCTCCACTCCCTCCCCCAATCTCCTTTCAAAAGGCCGACCTCCCTGCACAACCAGAAGACTCAGCTCCTTCCCCAATGTCAACAGTCACTGAGGGAAATCTGTTTTCAACACTTTTGCTAATGTTCAACTAAGTTCATTCTGACTCCTATTTGAGATTAAAGAGAAAAATTAGATAATTCCTTATCCTCGTAGAATGTATTATCCAGTAGTAAAAATGGAACACACTAAATTGAAAAGGCAGAATAAGATGAATACAGTAAGTGCACACAGTGGGAAGAGAGAGTGTTCCCCACTCCTCAGACTCCTGGAGGGATTCTTGGCTTGACAGAGGTTACATCAGGTGTTTTCTAAGTTACCTTCCAAAGTTCAGAGTCAAAGCAGCTTCAATTCCTGTCAATGTAGCTGCCCTTCCCAGACCTTCCAACCTTCCCCTTCTTCCTTTTCCTGGAAGGTTGGCCACGGAAAATCACCCACGACCATCAAGGGGACAGTCACTGGAGATCATGATTCACTGCCCAGACCCTCAAGTTCCAACAGAGAAATGGGTGGAAGGAGTGGGGATATTGCAGTGGGGTTTCTCAACACTTTCCTCTCTACTATAATTTTTAATAAAATGGTAATATACAAATAATATGATGGAATTCAGATGGAATCCAGACTTTGTCATATAACAAAAACGAAAAACTACCTTTTCCTTTTTAGGCTTGTGTCTTTGGAACTGTCACATAAAAAGTCTTCCCCACAGAAAACTGGTGGCATCATTTTTGTCTCCTCTCCTTACAGAGCTTCCAGGCATTGCTGTCCACCTTCCACAAGATTCTCTGGGATTTAGCTTTACAGGCAAATGCTGAACCACGAAACACCATAGGAAAATCAAGCAACCCTGTTGCACAGTTATACCCTGGCCCCTAAAAATTACTCGAAAAAATATTTCTTTTTGAAGTAATAGATCTAGGCAATAATCATTGATGGCTGTTGAAATTATTATCAAGTGAAAAGCTGATTATGTACTTTATAATGGATGGAATGGACTAAATCAGGTGCCTGAATATGACTAAATAATTCTAACATCACAGAAAGAGAGATGAAGAGCCTAATATTCTCCTGATAGAAATACGCACAGCTACAGAGTAGTCTTGTCAAAAACAAAAACAAAGCCCTAAATTTTATCAAGTCCTAAAATTAAGGGCATACATAGTACATACAGGAAACAACAGTATATGTCACATGACTCCCAGTGATGCAATGTGGGAATCCAGAAAGTGGGAAACACCATAGGACAAGTGACCCTGTTTCTTAAGCAAATACTTTATAATTGTCATCTATAAGTTGAAAGTGGCCTGAGACACCAAAGAAAGTGCAGATTTTGTCTAGATGTTAATTCAAGCAAATCACTATTAAAACTAATCATTTATGGAAATTAGAAAAAAATCGGAATGTTGACTGGCAACAGAATTGGATATAGAGAATCATGATCAATTTTCAAAATGTGATCATAGTATTGTGGTTATATTACTAGTCCTAATCTTTTGGAAACATATCATATGTGTATACTTATACACATATGAAATAGGGTGACTACATCAAAATCAAGATTGGGGATTTGCTTTGAAATAATTAAGTAGGGAGAAGGGGGAAGATGAGAGCGTTGGATATGGATGAAACAAGATGGCCATGGTTATGATGTTATGAATGAAAATAAAGTATAAGTTATTTATGCCATTTTCTTTACTTTTGTGCATATTTAATATGTTTTCATAATAAAAACATTAAGTAGGGGGAAAGAGGCAAAAAATTGCAAACAAACAAACAAACAAACAAAAAATATATATCTTTTTTATTTTTAGGTTGCAGCTTAACAATGGACTATCAGCCAAGGTTACATAGAATTACTTATTTTAATTTTAAATTAACATTTTGGCTTTGCCCTGAAAGTTGTCCTCAGTTACTTATATTTTCTACATTTGCAATGTTATATTGGCAAAAAGCAAAAAAAAAAAAAAATATATATATATATATATATATATATATATATATATATATTTAAATGTACAATCTCAATGTCATTATATAGATTTTTTTTAAAGTTCATTATGCAGCTGGGGCTATATATAGCTCAGTGGCAGACAGCTTGCCTAGCATGTATGAGGCACTGGGCTTGCCCCTTAGCATCACATAAAAATAAACAAATAAAATAAAGGCATTCTGTCCATCTACAACTACAAAAAAAATGTAAAAACAAAAGAACAAAACAAAACCAAAGCTCATTATGACTTTTTACACTCTGTAACTCATATGTTTAAAAAGTGAAGTAAGCCACAGAACTAAAAGCATTTTCCTTTGCTATAACACTAGGAAGGTCAAGACTATTAACTTATCCCAACATTCCCTCTTAAAAAAAAAAAAAATATGTGTTACATCTACAAACTCCGAGATACTCTCTATCTTGTAGTGCATATGGATTCAGATCATGTTGCTGATAAACTCTTTAAGTACTATCTGAAATATTGACATAGCACTGGAAAATTTTGCAAGTTTAAGCACAAAGAAGCCATTTGGAATCACTCCAAAAGCTAATTACATTTTAGGGAGGGCTAGTAGAGCTAGCTGTAATCAACAGCTAGAATATTTCTTTTTAACTCCTTGACTATGCATTACATTCAAGCTAATCATCTTGTTTATTCCTGCTAAAATTTCAGAAACCAAATAATCTGGGAATATCTCTGCCCTGCTGGGCTCTTTTTTTCAAAGCCAGAGCAAAGCCAAAATGAATTATTTACCAATTTTCCTACTATAAATTCTGCTAACAGGAGGAAAACTGTTAGAACATCTTGCCAACAAAATGAAATATACAGCACAGAGAGGCGGGAATTCAACTTAAGCAATTTAGTCATGCATTTTCATTGATAAGCCAGGAAAAACTAAAGAGGCTTCATGACAGACATACATGAAAGGGAAAAGAGAAGCTAAGGCTGTGGGCACATGGCATCCATTGAGTGGTACCTGCTGAAACTGACTTTGTAAATTGAAATCTGCATTTTTAATCAAGGAAATCAAGGGTATTTTAAGTGAAAAAAATAGACACAGATTCTGTTCTCTGCCTTTGCAAAAACCTTTTTGGCTAAGAAATAACATCACCCGAACATATTTCCTTATCCTATGCAGATGCCTTCAGTAGATACACATGAAAAAAAAATCATGTACCACATGAAGAAATATACAGCCCTTGCTTATTTTACATAAAATAATACTGTTCAAAGAAGCATTCTTTTTCTTTCACATATAAAATCCTTTATTGTTTTATGAAGAGAGGGCCTTGGGTTCACTGAACACACTTGCCTCCTTTGGCAGGGCACTGCCAACACTATCAAAATATTAAACTCAGCATAAGATGCCTTTATTACCCTGCCCTGCCCCAACTTTGCATCTACCCACCAGGCTTGGAGATGTGTTCTGTTCCTTCCCAGGTGGTTGACTATTTTCATCGTCACAACTCCTGAGTTAGCCCTCATGCTTCAAAGGGTCTCCACAGCTTTGCCATTCCCTAGCAATGATAGAACTATGCAGGCATCATCTGCTTATCAGTATGTAGCACCTTCTTCTCCTGCCTATAACATTTTCCAGAGTATAGCCACTTCCCACATTAAGCCTTTTAAAAGGCAAAAATCAACAACTGAATTCAATAAATATTGATTACTTATCTGCTTTTTTTCTAGGTGCAGAAGGGTATGAAGATCTAGCCCCTGTTCTCTACAAGGGTATTTCCACTGAGTTGCTGGTGAGAATAGATTCACACATTGCACAGTTGGGTATGGTATAATATAAATAACATCAAATTTCAACGGCATTCTAAGGAATCAGAGACTAGTGAAAAATTAAGGGAAGAGGTTCTCAAATCTCCACAGAATGTAAACAGGTGGAAAGATGGATAACAGAGGGTACAGGCAGGGCCACCAAATAAAGATTGTTTTAAACTATAAATGAACATGGTACTTTGTAAGAACAGTTAAAAGTATAGGATTAAAATGTATAATATTAAAATTATAAAATGGCCAGGTATTGTGGCACATACCTATAAACCTTCCTACCTAGGAGGCTGAGGCGAGCCAGCCTGGGAAAC